GGAGGTCATGAAGAGTCAGAAGTGACTGAACAAATAAAGAACAACAGATCAGGAACTCTGTACTTAGGGTAAGTAGGGAAGCCATTTTTATTACTGCTACTTCTGTGGTTGATAACATACCACAGTGAGCCTGAAACTTCTCCTGATCTACTGGAAGTCATTTAAAATATCTATAGATCTACCATCTGCTCAATAGACTAGCCTTACAACCCACCGTATATTATATACAGCAAAGATTTGTCTCTACTTAATGCTGTCTTAAACATGGGGCATCAAAAGTTATATTATTCGTTTTAACTATTTTCTAGTGAATCTTAGACCAAACATTGTAGAGCTATTACTTCTATAAAAGCATGTGCTTCTTACTATGGTACCCCCTTAAGGTATTCCCTTAATAAAATTAACATAGAATCACAGTTGGAAGGAGTGCAAAAACTCTAGCTAGATTTTTGCATTCGTTTCAGCCCAATTTTCTAGTTGATCAAAGTATTTTTGAATCCAGTTACTGTATTCCAATGTGTTAGCTACCTCTCCAAGTGATTGTATTTGCAAACTCTAATGCAAATACTAAGCTTTATTCATATCTAATTTATTATTTTCCAAGCTTCCAGTTACACTTGTCATTTAATAAATCCAAAACATAATTTTTACATGCTGTAAACTTTTACATACTATAAATTTTAAGGAACTACGAGCTACCACTACTTGTAGAGAACATCTTCCCACAGTCAGTCCTATCTACATCCGCTTTGGTGTTCTGCAGGTTCTGATTATGTTCGCACTCTTTCCTGCCCCTACCCTTTCTGGCACAGAGGATGACACGTGAAGCAGTGGATTTCCTGTCTGAACTGCTGGTGCTGAATGCTTGGTCTGTAAGAACTAAACCAAGTGTTATGCCTTTCATGACAATACAGGCACAATCAGGAATAGAACTGCAAAAACCACAAGGGCAGAAAAATAAGAGATCCAAGGAAGCAGGATGCTGAATGAAAAATAAAACACTATTTTTTAGGTTCATCGCAAAGAAGTTTAGTATGTTGACACACTATGTGTTTCTATGTTTATAAACATTTATTCTCTTCAATGTGATACGAAAAACCTTGATTATTCCAACATGTATATAGTCTGGACAGGCATCGCCAATAAAAAAAAATCTGGCAAATGTCAAGATCTTGGGGACATTTGCTCATTTGTTTTCATATTCAAAACTCTTTTCTGACATGGAATCACTGAATAAAGTTTTATTATAATTTAATGAAGCAATTAGAGTACATGGTGGGTTTATTTCAAAAAGGTTACAGGGCAGTTTTTAAACAGATCCCTTGGGGAAAAGTGGACATGAGGTGGAGAATAACCCTATGATAATGAACATGAGATGTGCT